CCTCCTGAGGCTTCCTGGGGGCCCTGGTACACGCATCGCAAGGTGTGGCAACCCCACTTGCGCTCGAGTGCGACTTCGCTGTTGCATGTCACTCCTGCTTCAAACGCCCCTTCAGCTTGTTGTATGAGCCTGGGCACACACGTGCCACTTGTATATATATATATATAGATTCAGGCGAGGAGGGAGGGGGCACAGGGTGGAATGACCTGTCGCAGGGCCGGGCGCACACGGCGCGCGATATCTGTGCATGTTGCAGGCGTTTCGAGGTTTTCCGAACGCGGCCTCAGAAATCGCCCCCGCCCTTCCCTCCACCACCAGGCCGATGCAGGGGTTCTCGGACGGCCGAGAAGGAAACCCAAGAAACCAATGAGAAGTTTCCAAGAGGAGCCCAAGATGACCTCGTGGTGTCGTTCATCTGACGGGCCGCCCAGAGGTCCAAATAGAGCCCAAGAGCGATCCCAAGGAAACACAAATAAGATGCACAATAAGATCTCAACATGGATTCCAATGGCTTCCAGGAACCATTCACTGAAGGCTTAGATGTACCATATGGTGGTGGGGGGGGGGGCTTGAGAGGATCTCAAGGTGTTCCCATTGATGCCAGCGCCTTTCAGTTTACTTCATCCCCTTCGAATCGTACCATTGCTGTTGAACGTGCTCTGGGCTCTGCCCGCTCCCCTCGGGGCATTCTTACTATTTCTTTGGGCTTCCTTGGCGGCTGTTAGGGCCACGGTGCCTTCAGTTCAAGGTTGGCCTTGGCGTCCTCAGAAAGTTATGGGAGTGGCCTCGCACGGCTCTTCTCATTCTCATCCTCTTCCCCCCTCTCGGCCCGAGTCGGTGGATCACCCCAGCTCGAGCGCGCAAGCCGCCCGGAGGGTGCGTGCAAGTGGCGTGCAGGTGGCGTGCTGGTGACCCGGGGGGGAAGGCTCGCTCTGGCGTGCAGGTGGCGTGCAGGTGGCGTGCAGGTGGCGTGGAGGTGCGCGTGAGCGTGCAGGTGGCGTGCAGGTGGCGTGCAGGTGGCGTGCAGGTGAGCGTCCAAGTGAGCTCAGATCAGCGCGCAGGCAGCGTGCAGGTGGCGTGCAGGTGGCGTGCAGGTGCGTGCAGGTGGCGTGCAGGCCGAGTGGATGCGTCGCGCCAATCCTCCTTCTCCTCCTCTTCCTCCCCCTCGTCCTCCCCCCCCCTTCTCCTCCTCCTCCTCGTCCTCCTCCTCCCTTCTCATCCTCGTCCTCATCCTTCCCGCTCCTCCTGCTCCTGCTCCTCCTCCTCCTGTCTTCCATGGGGCTCCAAGGGCCTATCTCCCGTGTTGTTACTTGGGATCATTTTTCGATCGTTGCCCTGGGGCCAATCTCAATCGACCTACAGCGCGAACGGTGCTCGCACCGTTGTTCCCCTTACTCCGCAATCATGCAGAGTTGCGTTCCTTTGAAACCTCTGGGCCGCGTGTCCAAGCAGAACAGCGCAGTGGGCAGGAAGGGAGATGGGGGTCCGAAGAGGATCGGGGATCGTGGGAGGAGGGCTGGCTATGGGCATAGGGACATGAGATTGGGGAGGCGGCAGGAGCACATGAGCAGGATCATGCCACTTCGCAGCAGCACGGCCCTTCTTGGGCTGCCCCGGGTTAATAAACTTGGAACTGAGCCCAGCCAACAATTCTGTTGTGAAAGCTCGCGTTTCTGGAGATGGGCGGCCTGTGCCGCCCTCTGGCGATTGGGCGCCGAGCTTCTTGCTCTCTGCCACTGCGCTGATCGATGGCATCGCGGCTGCGCCATACAATGTTGACGGGGCGTGCGAACGAGAAGCATGGCGCAACGAGTCCGCGGGGAGGTACTTAGCAAGGTACCCAGGGTTGAGGCCTTTCAAGGCCAGACGTTCTTTATCCGAAATGAATCTAAACACCCGGCGCTGTGGCCCAGGCAAGTGCAAATCTTCCGTGCTGAGCAAGAACACATGTTTGTGATCAAGATTCAAACCAGGCGTCTTGCCCCTGAAGAGCCAGGCGCTCTTGCGGTCCAAATTGACTGCGGCCACCATGGTAGTAGCATGCATCTTGGGGCCCGTGCGGCACAAGGCCTTGATGTGGCGCTCGTAGTCCATCAAATTGTCTCGCATGTGGCGGGCAAGAATGTCCTTGCGACTGATGTTGCTCTCGGCTGGCTTAAGGAAGTCGTAGAGACGGCTGCAGCCGCTGGGGGGTATCACGTTCGGCATAGTCCCAGCGTGGTTTTTCTTCATGCACCGCAAGAAAGAAACAGCATCTGGTTGGGGCAAGCCGTACTCCTGCGCTGTCAGGTCCACGATGTCCCAGTGGAACCCCGGGGCGTGTTTTGCGCATAGGTCCATCACGTTCGGCAAAAAGGGCTCGCGCCCACCATGGGATGCCATTGTCTCGAAGGGGTGAGCAACTATGGCGGCGTGTAGCTCGCCGCAGTTGAGCATGTGCATGATGTATTGTAAGATTTTGGCATGCTCGTGCATAGCGTACGAGGTTGTGCTTCGCGCACCCGAGGCGCAAATGGCCCGCGCAGGCAATGGTGGTTTGCCAGCAACTATGTCGGCAGCCTCGAACTCCGAGATCTCCTTGTTGAGCGCGCTACCAGCGCGTCGCCGAGACCACGTGCTTGCGGATCAGTTTCTTGACCAAGTCTCTGTGGTTCACGTCGATGTAGCATGTGCTGACGCTCTGGGCCTCCAGGCCAGCAGCGTCGAACACGGGCGCAGTCTCCACGACGCCGCCACAGGGGGCGCGATCTTGATGGGCCCCAGTTGGAGAGGGCGCGAGCGACCAAACATGTGGTCGATGCACTGCTTGGCAGGGAAATACTCGGCTGCGTTGTTCAGCGCCTGCTGGGATGGAGTCGCTGCTGGCGAGGACGCTGCAAGCCAGCATGGTGGTGCCTCCCTTCACGGGGCCCTAGTGCCAGAGTCGGCCTCGCTGTCTGCAAAGACAACGCGGGCGCGGCGTATGACGAAGTCGAGGGTGGAAGGGTTCACCTTTGGCATGGCGGGATTGGACGATGGGTCCCATCTCGTTCTCTTAGACGCTCGATCCAACAGCGCCGTCAGAGACTCCTCTGCTGGCATGCGTTTGGCACTGCCCCCGGCGTCCACACGCGCAATGCGCCAGAAGTGATTTCGGAGGAAGACGATCTAAACGCTCTTGAGCCCAAATGGCAAACATTACGGATTGACGGGCTGATGAATTGATGCATGGCACGCAGGGGGGGGGGGGGGGGGGATAAGAAGATAAGTTTATATGATAATGGCGAAGCGTTTCGTAGCGCAGCGGGCAGATGCAGAGGCGGGATGCGACAGGGCCGGCAGTCTTCGGGGCAGGGGTTTCGTCTCACGCGCCAAGGCGCCCCCAGGGGTCAGCGAATGGGCCCATGTTCTTCCGCCATTGCCCCCTTCGCACGTGAGCGTCAGGCTCTGGCCCCCCGGGTCTCCAGGAAGAGGGGGGGGATAAGATGAGGTGGAGGGCGCGGAGGTGGACGTTGAGAAGGACATGGAGGGATATGCGAATAGGGAAGGGGGGCGGAGGAGGAGGAGGAGGAGGAGGGGGGGGAGGAGGAGGGGGGGGAAGAAGAGGAGACGGCGGAGGAGGAGGAGGAGGAGGAGGAGGAGGGGGAGGGGCAAGACGATGAGGAGCGCACGATGCTTTACCTTTGCTTGCGTCGAGCTGCGCTGTGCGTCTGCTGGCCGGGGATGGCAGGGGCGAAGGGCGCGTGATGGAATTCGGTTGAAACCAAACTCTCCCCAATGCGGCGTTGACCCAACGCCTCTCTGCAAGTCCCCTCCGCGCGGAAGCGAGTGCCGCAGCGCGCGGGCTAAACAGAGAGGAGTTCTGCACATTCCCGGGCGCCTGGGCCTATGGCCGCGGAGTCCCCTCGCGCAGCATTAAAATGGCTTGCCAAAATGGCACTCACGCGCGGCTGTGAGAGAAGAAAAAACTGCCTGCGCTGAACTGTCTAGAGCGTGAGAAGGTAATCCTGCAGCCTTTTCCAGACAGCGTGGGCCCCCCCCGGTGTTCCACGCAAGCTTCTTATCATAGCGCGAGGCGGCCTCGGGCTTCACCCGCCGCAAGTTCTTCTCGTGGGAGCAGTGCACAGTGGCGCCGTCGAAACTGATCGGCTCGAAATACCCAGTCCCAGGATAGCGAGGCGCAGCCTTGGATGTCATTTTGCCTCCAGCCGAGCTCGCGGCCGTAATCTTGACCGCGGGGCTCGCCTTGGCCCTGGCTTTCGCCTTTGCTTTGGCCTTGCCCTTCGGCTTCAGCGCAGGAGTCCCGGGGTCCGCCGCGCAGGCCTTCTCGGCAGGAGTTGCGCCCGCGGCCGCCGCAGCGGCTGGGCGCTTCAGCGCGCTCTTGGAGGTGGTCTCGAGCTTGGAGCTGATGCCATCCAACGTCCCATCCACCTGGGCCTCTGCGGCCTCGCTTCCGCCAGCATCTGGAGCCGCGTAGGGCACCGCTGCCAGGGCTTCCGGCGCTGGAAGCGGCGGCGGCGGCACAGGCGACAGCGGCGCCAGCTGCTGCAGCGCCGATCCGGGGGCAGGGATCCCACGCGCGCCAGCGGCGGGCGAGAGCAGCAGCGGAGGGCCCTGCACAGGGGGCGCCTTGCCACTGGGCGAAGTCCACGCCGTCGCCGCCTGCGCAGCTGCAGCGTGCCCCAGCTCAGCACCTGGGAGAGGGGATGGAAGAAGTAGGAGGAGGTGGAGGAGGATGGCGAGGAGGATGAGGGGGAGGAGAGGGCAAGGTGGAGGAGGAGGAGGAGGAAAAGGAGAAGAAAGACGAAGGCGAGGAGGAGGAGCAGGAGGAGGAGGAGGAGGGCGAGGAGGAGGAGGAGGAGGAAGAGGGGGAGGAGGGGGGGGAGGGGGAAGAGCTCGGAGGGGGAGGAGGAAGAGGAGGAGTAGGAGGAGGAGGAGGAGGAGGGCAAGGAGGAGGAGGGGGAGGAGGACAGAGGAAGCCCATTGTATACCCTCGGCACTGCGCCGAACTCCAGCGCTGCCTGCGGGCACGATCGCCTGGTAGGCGCGCGCGTTGGCGCCCATCAAGGCGGGCGCCGAGCAAACGACAGCCGGGCACGACCGCGCTCGAGACATCGCGGCTGGGCCTCGACGGCCTGGGGCCCTGACGGCAACGAGGCCATTCGTGACCCTACGCGGCATGGAACTCTTCATGAGGGTGAGCGCATCCGGGCACATATCCTCTGGCGGCAAGACGGGAGGGGCTGCGAGGAACAGCAGGTTGAACAGCGTGGCATCTATGCTGGCCAACTCCTCCGGGCCCTCAGGGTACTTGAGGGCCAGATTCTCGTAGCCCTGCGCGCTGCGGCGGATGGTGCAAAGACCTGACTTGATGGAGTCCCTCCACCAGATGGCGCGCGTCATGGTCTGGTCTCCCTGTGCCCACTGACCGACGGCGCCAAACTTGGCAAGGGTATGCTATGATGGGAAGAACAAGCGCAGCGAGGCCATCTTGCGAAGGATAGTGCCGATCGCTTGCTCGGGCGCGCCGCGCAGCGACTGCCACTCGGCATCGGTGACGTAGTTCTCTGGGTAGTCCATGGTCTGCTTCTTCTCCGAGGGATGGGCGGAAGCGGGCTCGGCCGCCCCGGAGACGTCGGCCTTGGCGTTGATTGCGTCAACGATGGCAGCCCTGTCTGCTTCAACGAACGGGCAAATATGAGACGCGTTCATGGTCTCCACCACGCCCATGGCAGCTTCGCAAGTGACGTGAGAACCAAGTGCGTCCAACTGCCGAAGGATAGCTTGGCAAGCGCTCCTCGACATGGACGCGTGCTTGTCGCTAAAAGGCTCGATCCCTCCGTTGGCCAGGTTGCAGCTGACGAACTGGATCCTGGATTGGGCGAAACTGAGAAACAAATTGACTCGCTTGGCAAACGGAGTGGCCGACATCCCGCGCGGCTGCCAATGCGCGTGGACGAGCAGTAAACAAAATCGGCAAAGAAGTCTGAGCCCAAATGGGAACGATGCAAATCTTCCAAGAACGATGATGGAATAATCGCCCTGGCGGTCCTGGGTTTGGGTCGCTTTGCATGCGGTCCTCCGATGGAAGAGGCAGGCCTGCTGCTGCTGCTGCTGATCCTTCTCCTCCTCCTCCTCCTTCTCCTCCTCCTCTTCCTCCTCCTCTCCTCCGCCTCCTTCTCCCCCCCTCCCCCCTCCTCCTCCTCCTGCTCGTGCTCCTGCTCTTTCCTCTTTCCCCTGCGCCCTCCACCGCGCCATCCAGTTGCTTACTCTATGACCTGAGTGTTATCTCTTGCGCATCGTTCCAAAAAATGGAGGAGGCCCTGGCGAAGGAGAGAACGAGGGGGCGCAAGAAGAGGAGGGGGGGGGGAGTAACGGAGGAGGGAAGCGGTGCGAAGTAAGGGAATATGCGCCCTTGTGCTATTCAAACGGCTTTGCCGATATCTGACCGCCCCGGAGGGACTTGCCAAGTGGCCTTCGAAGAGGAGGAGAAGGGGGAGGAACGGGAGGAGGAGAAGGAGGAGGCGGAGGAGGAGGAGGATGGGGGAGTGGACGCATCAACAGCATGGGCTCAAATCATTTCACTCTATCGCTGGCTGGACGCGCTGCTCACGCAAAAGAAAGCTTCAGCGGCAAACCGCGCGCCGCTGTAGGCTATGAGACTGTGTGTTCACACATTGACATAGACAAGCGTGATTCGAGCGCATCTGAGGGAAGCTGGGCTGAAAAAAAAGCACTCGGCTGCGGAAGCGGCCAATGCTCCTAGCGGTTACTCGACTGGGAGCCTAGTAGAAGGCCTTCGGGCAACTTCAAGTGCTGGTCTGGCTGTCTACTGCTCAGCGACTGGCGTTCTGACCCCATCGAACGCCCTCTGGTTTCTTTGTCCTGACGCCTCAAAGCTCATTCTCGTCCTCGCCCGCGTCTTCCTCCGCGTCCTCCTCGAGCATCTCCTTGAGGCCATTGATCTGGCCCTTCAGCACGTCGACGGCGGGCCCGGCCTGCTTCAAGGCCGCGTCGGCATCGTTGAGGGCGGAATCCGCGACATCCTTGTCCTCCAGGGCGAGCTTGAGCGCAGCCGTGACCGAGACCATGAGAGGTTTCAGCCCCTGTGCCGAGCCGTGCCACAAGCGCGCAATGGATCTGAACCCCGTGGGCCAAACTACTCCCGACCCTCGCGGGGCCAAACTACTCCCGGGCCAAACTACCTCGGGAGCTAGTTCAAAGGGAGGGGGGGAGGGCATGATCTCCATTGCGTGCTCTGTTGGCAGGGCTGGCACCTGAGCCTTGGCGACGAGCTTCGCAGGCAGCATGGTTTTGATGGACTCCTCGCCAGCTTCCTCAACCAGGACGTCGAGCTCCTCAGCAACCGCCTCGCAGGAAGCGATGAGCTTGTTGATTCTCTTCGCCACGGACGCCTTGGGCTTCACGAGTTTCGGGGCTGGTGGCTCGTCCTGCTCGGCCCCGCCGCCCTCGCGCGTCCCGCGCGCCCTCTTGGTCGTCTTGGGCTGCTCGTCAGTCTTGCGCTTCGACCCCATTGACCGTCGTGTCTTGGGAAGTGCTGGTCTCAATTGTCTTCCTATTCTCGGACCTCTGCAGGCTCTTGCTCTGGATGGCGCTGTCCTCGTAAACCTTGACATTCCGAGTGGGATGGATTATCGACCTCGCGTTCGCGATGATGCTCCGCGCCTGGTCCTCCCGCCCCTTGCATTTGGTGAACAGCTCCATCTCGTCCATCCATCCGTCGCAGTTGCCGCCGAACTCGTCGATGTTGGAGAGGATGGCGTGTTCCTGCACGACCTGCCTGACTGCTTTCTTCCAGTTTGCCCCGGAGAGCCCGTTGAGTATCCCGATTTGGGCTGCCTTGACGTCCGACGGAAGTTTGCTTCGCTGCTGCGCGAGGTCTGGGTCGGATTTCTTCAAGCGGTCCACCTTGCCGCGGAGACTGTTGCAGTCAGTGCACCTCCAGATAGTCTCCCCAGAGGCGAGCGAACCTGCATGCTTGAGCTCCGCCGACGGCATTTGCCTCTTGCAGCTCATGCAGGGGAGGCACTCAATCGCAGCAGCAGCCATGATGATGCGAGGATGCTGACAAGAAATCGGGTTCGCCCGAACAGGAGACTGGCCACGACCACGAAGCCGAAATTTGGGCCAAAACAGCTGCGGCGGAGGGGAGGACAGGGTGGAGGAGGAGGAGGGGGACTCTGGAAACGGGGGGAGGGCGCCGGGGGGAAGACAGAGTGGGCTCTGGAGTACGCCCCACAGCATTCAGGGCGACATGTCGGTTGGCCCTGTGACAATTGCTCGCCAGCCCTTGTGAACGAGGGCACCCCCTGCGCGCCGCGCCCTTTCCCCTTGGTAGCGTAGCCACTGCAACACAACGCAGCGCAACGCAACGCAACGCAAAGCAATCGCAACGTGCGGCAACGCAATGCAACGCAATTCGACGTCGCACAACGCACCGCTAGTTAAACTCGGTAAGGTGTGCCTTTCATAGCTTTTCGTAACTGAACGTAACTGATCGTGACTGAACGTAACTGAACGTAACTGAACGTAACTGTTCTGTAACTTTTCGTAACTCCTCTTAACTGTCGCTAACTGTTTTCTATTTTTTTCACAGTCGATGTATAACTAGTTAAGTTGAGTTAGTTCAAATCGGCTATATCTCGGCGCAAGCGCGTATGAGTGGATATACATCAACGCTAACCGACTCATCAGATACGCTCCACTTACAAGTGGTTGTGCGCTTAAAACTCAGCATGCAACTAGGGTTGGCGGCATATGACTCAGGTTACAACTGAGGCTATAAGGACGCAAGCCCAAAAACAATGGAAGGGCGGGCGCCGCGGGCGCCGCGGGCGCTGCGGGTGCCTCGGGCGCCGCGCGCGTCGCGCGCGCCCAGGGCGCCGCGGGCGCCGCGGGCGCCGCGGGCGCTGCGGGTGCCGCGGGCGTCGCTGGCACCGCGGCGCCGCGGGCGCTGCTGGCGCCGCCAGCGCCGCGCCGCGGGCGCCACGGGCGCGGCGGGCGCCGCGGGCGCCGCGGGCGCCGCGGGCGCCGCGGGCGCGCGCGCCGCGTGCGCCACCGGCGCCGCCGGCGCCGCGGGGCCACGGGCGCGGTTGGCGCCGCCTGCGCCGCGGGCACCGCGGGCTCGGTGGGCGCCGCGGGCGCTGCGGGTGCCGCGGGCGCCGCCGGCGCCGCCCGCGCCGCGGGCGCGGGCGCCGTGGGCGCCGCGGGCGGCGCGGGCGCAGCGTGCGTCGCGGGCGCTGCGGGCGCCGCGGGCGCCGCCTGCGCCGCGGGCGCCGCGGGCGCCGCGGGCGCCGCGGGCGCCGCGGGCGACGGCGGGCGCCGGGGCTTCCGATTCTCGAGTGATCGCGGCCCTCTGCCGCCACTCTGAAACCATCGTAGGCTCCCCCCTTTCACCCGGGATGCGCGACCATGCCCCAGCTCGGTGCTCTTCGACTTACTCAGTTTCCTCCGTATTTTCGGAAAAGTAGCAATTGGATGTGGTCGCCAATCGGCTTCAATCGAGAATGTGGTTGTTTGTATTTGGATAGTCGGTAAAATTGAATTAAGTGCTCGGGGCCTCCCCAAAGCTTAAGTGGCCACCAAGAGGCGCCGAGTTCTCCTTCCCACGTTCCCTTCGCCATCCTTCTCTACTTTCCACGCCAGCGCATCATTCATTAACGTGGCGATGACGGCGATAATGCAGCGTTGAGGTTCTTGGGGCAAGGAGAAGACAGCCCAGCGTCGAGCGCGCTGCACTCCCGAGTGAGACGCTGAGTCGACCCCGCAAGCCTGCAATGCACGCGCGTCGCCCGATGGGGCCCTTTTCGAGGCCCCGGGCGATTGCATTCTCCCCCCCCCCCGAGCGCGTGCATAGCATGTCATCTCACATCATTACATTCAGATTGTAGTCGCCATGGAGGGGAAACCCCCTTCCTCCTCGGTGCCATCATGGGCCCGTTATGAGTGTGAGCATGGGACCCCTCAGGGGGGTCTTAACACACCCCGAACGCCTTAGGTCTGTACAATGGGATCGTACTGCGTACAACAGGGGGCAATGGGTGAAGTTGGCGAGAATCTAATTTTGGATTGCGAGCCGCAGATCGACACAGACATGTTAGCACAGAAGGGCCCACGGGGGGAAAAGGGCTGCCGCGTCGCACGTGGGTGGGTGGGGGGGGGGGGGCGATTCCATTGGCTGCTTCGGCCATGCCCGCGCGCCCGTGCGCCGCCGTGAACAGTGGTCTTATTCCTCGCGAACTGCGAGCTCAGCGGTTAAAAATATCACGGGCGGGTCGTCTGTTTCACCTCCACGCGCGGGCCCCGCGGCGGCGCGCCGCCGCCGCGCCCCGACGCCCGCAGGTCTCTTAAATATGATTGATGGCATGCCCTAATTGCCTGACTTACACAGTCTGCATCAGCGCCTCTGAAGGAGGAGTGCATCAGCGCCTCCTTGGCTTCTGACTTAGAGCCCAGACGAAAGCGAAGGTTGGAGGAGAGAGCGGTAGATGGGGATGAGGGGGAGTGGCGCAGCTTACTGACTGGGCAGTGGGCGCAGAGATCATGGCCCAGCCGCCGCGCACGGCTTCCAAGACGGAGCGTCGCGTTCTCTGCAAAAATGATGAAGCGGAGGTTGGGGGATGGAGGGGTGGGGAGGCGGAGGAGGGAGGTGGAGGAGGGCGAGAATACTTGCCAGAGCTACTTCGGCCGAAGCAGCCGATGAACGGCGCTGTCAGCCACTGGCTGGCGCCGCGGCGGGCCCCGCCTCAGCGGCGTCGTCGCTGCCGGGCTCGCCCCACGGGCCCTCCGCATCTGCGTCGGCGGGGTCGTCGATCTGGTAGATCATGGCCGCGATGTGGTTCATCTGGGCACGTGGCCCAGCTATCGGCCTGGCCCGCCACTGGCGAGACGCTGGCAGTCTAATGCGGAGC